ATCTTGTGCCCCCTCCTATGTGAACCTTTGCTTAGGAGCATGGGAGAAGGGCATCATGGCAGATCCCAAATTACAAACATTTTGTAGTCTAGTGTATTGTTGGAAAAGATACATTGACAACGTGTTTATTATTTGGTTGGGATCAAGAAGGGACTTTGAGAACTTTATCCACCATCTGAATGTCAATAACCTTAACTTGACTTTCACTAGTGAGATGGGAGGTAAAAAATTTGATTTTTTTGATCTAACCATCTCATTACAGCCTGGAGTGGAAGTGGTTATGACCTTGTTTCGTAAAAAAACAGCCACAAATGGCTTGCTAAACTGGTAAAGCTACCATCCTAAAACCTTGAGAACAGGCATACCCACGGGTCAGTATCTGAGGCTCACACGAAACTGTTCCACTATTGAGGATTTCAAGGTCGAAGCTTGGGACCTCAGAAAATCCTTTAAGGAAAAGGGCTACCCCAATAGGGTATTAAAAAAGGCATATTTCAGAGCAATTCTATCAGATAGTATAAAATAACCAATCACATATCAGTTACATCCCACATATTCCCTCCCCTTATCCTGAGAGGAAACTCAATTACACATACAGTTAAAACATACTTTCTACCCAACTTTCATAACTTTAAAACCATACATCACATTCACATAAAATTACATATTCACAATCAATCCATTCAGGGGAACAACATATTAAAAAATGGCATGAATCAGACCAGGGGTTCAAAAGTTAGTAAAAGTATCTTTTGGGCCCTGGCTGACACATGGATATCTGGCTCAGACAGATTTTACAGAGCCCTCTATCCAGGAGACAATGGGGAAAGTAATCCAATTATCCAGGGATAGAGGCAGACTCCATTGAGCACATGGTTGCAAAAAGACATAAAACACTTTAAAATACATAAAGTCACCTTTTACACATAACATACAGACATTTCAGATAGCTGGGATCTGAGCGCACAAAACTACCGAATAGCGCTCAGATCCTATTCACACAGTTCAATTGCCATGGAGCCGAAGTCTTTAACTACACGAATGGGCTCCATGGCATAGCTATCTGGGTTAACACATTCACATAAAGTCTGGTCTATAGTCCAAAGGCAAGAGGCGGGCAAGCAGCCCCCTCCAAGGACACGTGGCGAGGTCGGTTTCGCCACAAGTGGTACTTACCAAAATTATGTAGATGTTAAAGGTTACCTTCATTTTAATTGTGCTCTTCATCCACAGTAGATTAATAAAATTCACTTTGGCCAGTTTTTAAAATTGAGGTGTAATTGTACTTTTTTATGTGATTTTTCAAATGGAGGCCTTGGTTTTAATACTATGTTTTTAAGTGAAATATTAGTGCTCCATTAACTTTGTATGCTGCAACCTCCTCTGCTTTGTGATTTATCTTATATTTTGTCCTTGTGGGCTACAACATGTTGGTAAGACCTTTAAAACAATGGAAAGAAAGTATGTGGAACAAAATCCTTGTGATTTATCTTATTTTGTGTACTTGTAGGCTACAATATGTTGGAAAAACCACTAAACCACTGAAAAGAAGGTTTATGGGACAAAGAGCAACAGTTAAAATTGCCAATTCAAATGCATCTGTGGCTTTACAATTTCATAGATATATCACAAGTGTGATACAAGTGGTGAGTAATGAGATTGTAATAGATCCCTCCTAACTTGGCTACACTGTTTATAATCAAATGCTTGTAAAAATCAGAATCATATTGGATATGTTTATTACGTATATTGGTCAAGGGGCATTAAATGAAATTATCGATTTACTGTATCTATAATTTATATTACGATTATTATGTTGCTCTGTGTACTCATGCATGTTTATTTATTTAATTTACCTTGAGGGAAAAGGACTGAGTTCGCATCAGAGAGGATTATTATTATTATTATTTATAAAGCGCCAACAAATTCCGCAGTGCACAACAATGGGTGCACTAACAGACACGTATTTGTAACCAGACGAGCTGGACACACAGGAACAGAGGGATTGAGGGCCCTGCTCAATGAGCTTACATGCTATAGGGAGTGGGGTATAGCGACACAAAAGGTAAGGGTAGAGTAGAAAAGTAGGTTGCTATATCAACGTAGAGCAGTGGCAAGAGCACACACACTTGGCATTTCTCCTATGAACATGCATATTTCCACTGCATATCCATGATTACTTAGTTCACCGTGCAGACACCCCACCCCCCAAAAAAAATTATAAAAACTAGGCAACTAATTGCATTTTAGATTATCTATATTGAACAGAGCCAGGCCTCTAATTTTATTGGATAACTCTTCTAAAATATATTGCACTAAGCATGGCTAGAAACTATTATATTATTAAGAAAACAAGTCAGATTCAGGCTCAGAATACCTCCAATCTTGCATCTACAATGGTGCAGGTAAAGTAAATGATTATTGCATTCCACATGGAAAATTAGAGAAGACTAATCGAGTTATTCACTAAAGTCCGAATGCCACCATACTGAAAAACCATTTGCTGCTATACAGTGCCGTTCAGACTGTAATAGCTAGATGTTGTTCATGTAATTCAACAATGTCCAGATTTTGCAATTGAGGCCCCAAATGGGCCTGAATTTGGTCCGTATTTTAGCCAGACCTAAAACTACAGAAAGGCTGAAATCCAAATGAAATAAATTAAACCCAGGTTTGGAAGCTTTCAATCCAGTGTCCGGATTAACAAAAAGAGTTCAAACTGTTGGCCCGCTGGCAGCGCTAGGATTGAATGTGGGGGATAATTATGTGGCAACTAACCAACGCTTGCTAGCCAGCCACCATATTAAGAAAGTAAAAAAATAATACAGATAAATAAACCCTATTAGAATTTTACCTCGATATGTGCCACCTGCCCTGCTGGTCCCCATGCAGCCAGTAGGAGGGGGCTGGGGAGGGAAACTAGGTCCTCCCCCGTGGGTACGAGGTAGACCATATCCCCCCATGTTATTTTATAGGCCCCATTCTTATGAGATGGGACCTTTTTTAGTAATATGGGGATCTTATTGACCCCCATATGATTTTTATTTAATAGATTTTTTACTTGTTTCATGTAGCGGCTGGCGAATTAACAGCACACAACAACTATTGTGTGCCATAATTCTTCTTCCTCTGAACTTGGTTCCGGAAAGGACAGCAAAATGATTACTTGAAATATATTTGTAGATGAAACTACCTTAGGGAGAAATCCCACAACTGGAGAAAGGAAAACTCTGTCTTTTAAAAATGTAGTGTATGATTCTTTAGCAGAAAGTGCTCTTTAATCCAGGTTTTTTTTTAGCTCATGTGATTTTTTGTATTTGTCAAAGTTTTTTTTGGGGGGGGGGAAATATACCATCTCAGTTGTTGGTGATGTGCTCTACATTTATATAGATTTTTTTTTTTTTTTAAAGAGGCCGGGGGCTTGAGCCTGGGTGTGACCAGGTATATCACAAGAATTGGGTTGTTCTGAAGAGCTCAGTGAATTCAAGGATGCAATAAGTCAGTTTGTGAAATTTCAGGCAGAGGAGGGAAGCAGAGTTGAAACCTCTGACTCCCAACAGCCATAGGCCAGCCCACTAGACCCCAGGGAACCAAGGCTCCTGCACCAGGAAATGGAAGGGTCGCTTAATTTGTGCAAATTCTGCATGCATGCCTGTATGTGTGTATGTGTATCTATCTGTGTGTGTGTCTGTGTATCTGCATGTGTCTGTATGTGTGCTTATGTGTCTATGTATCTATTTGTCTATACATCTGCATTTGTGTCTGCATGTGTGTCTGTATGTACATAGGTGTATCTGTATGTGTATGTGTATCTTCGTCTGTGTATATGTTTTTGTGTCTCTGTATCCGCACGTGTGTCAGTGTGTGCCCCTGCTTATCCATGTGTGTCTGTGTACCTGTATGCATATCAGTGTTTGTATCTTTATGAGTGCCATTCTGTGTATCTGAATGTGTGTCATACTGTGCGTCATTCTGTGTGTCTGTATATTTGTGTGTTAATGTTTGACTGTATATTTGCATCTGTGTCAGTGTGTGCCCCTGTGTGTATGCATCTGTATGAGTGTCATTGTGTCTATCTCTCTGTGTTTCTGCATGTGTATTGTTGTATGTATATCTGTATGTGTGTATCTGTCTGCCTGTGTCTGTCAGTGTGTTTGTTTATCCGTATGTGTGTTAGTGTGTGTCTATGTATCTGCCTTTGTAAATCTGTGCATTTGTATGTGTATCAGTGTGTATCTGGATGTGTGTCAGTATATGCACCCATGGGTTTGTGTATCTGCCCTTAGTGTCTGTGTATTTGCATGTCTGTACCTGTGTATGTGTGTATCTTTATGTGTGTCAGTGCTTGCATCTGTATGTGTGTCAATGTGTGTATCTGCATGTGTGTCTGTTAGGAGTTACAGTCCCAATTCACATAGATATTCTAAATCTCCTATACCCACACACATCACATGCCCTGCATACACAAGCAGATGTGGACTGTAATTTTATAACATGACAGGAGGCTTCGTATTTGCTTTAGTCTCTCTTTACTAGAACTCCACAGCAGCACAGAAAAACAACCAATCAGAAAAAAGTTAGTTACTATAAAACTCCCCTCCCATGCATCATTTCCTCTTTCTTTGCTGCTCCACAGTCAGTACAGGTCAGAGTGCCACTGCCTCCTGCTTATAGTTGGTGACTTTGGGATTTAGTATGACTTATTTAGGATTTATATTTATTATATTTAGTTACTATGTTATATATTTATTATTTATATATTATATTTTTTTATATATATTTTATGTTTATGGTATTTAGTGATATCATTTATATTTTGCTTAATTTATTTATGTATTAATTATATATTGTATGTCGTTGTATATTTATTATTTACTTCGAGATTACTGCCCGTTCTTGTACTCCTTGCTTCCCTGGTTGCTTGGGGATGTTTTCCATTATTGGGTGGTTTTCGGGGGGGTTCCTTTCAGTTGCCTCTCCCCCTCCCCTCCACTCCATAGCACCCTTCTGTTGGCTATTTGGCTGCCTCCTCTGACTCCCCGAGCTCCAGTGTGAGCCTGCTGGCGCCCAGGGTTTCTCGCGGTCGGACGCGTGGCCGCCTCGCCACGGCCGGCTTCTTCATAGAGCCGCGTGCATCCGACAGGCTAGAGGAGGGTGCACCTACTCGTGGCCCCTCCTCCAGACGCGGTGGTCAGACCGCAAGTGTTTTTTCCTCGCTGGCATTCTGGCTCTGTAACATGATGCATACAGAGCCGGTCCGGCAGTTAGAAGAGGGGTAATAACGTTTCGTGCATATTGCACAAGTAATCTACTGTTCTTTGGTGCATATGATTATACATCAGTAGATATGTGCCTGATCCATCTCTGGGGTCAGAGATGAGACTACTCTAGGATGGTGGTCTCTGTCCAGGGCAAATATACAAAGCTAAGCAGACCTGGCTCTGGCTTATACTGGTATGGGAGACTAGTCTATGCTGACACTGATTCAGTCCTATCAGATCCTGTGACTAGTAGAGTTGGAATGTGTTCCCTCCAAGCTCAATAAGAGGGTGTATTGAATTGGCTTTTGTTTTACCCTATCCCTGAAAAGATACCATGGGTACAATAACCTTTGGGTGGCATGCAGACAATGCATAATATTGATGAAGAAATCTCTGGTCTGCATGTTCATGTGCATAACCTATTCTCAGTTAAAAAATGTATCGCTCAGTATATCATGTTTTAATGGACACTGTTATCACTGGAACATTTTCAGCTTATACCCAATACAACTAGAATACCACTATTTGCCTGCTGGGCATTTAGGGACTACTAGTCCCAGTTATAGGTTATTAACACAGTATTATGCTGTGTAAAGGGGTTGGCGTCTGGGGGCCCTATGTCACAGGGTACCCTGAAGATTGACAAATATTTAAGGGACTCTGCCCATACACACGGGTCCCTTATTGATCATTTAGACACAATCCAGGATCTGCCTGCTATGTCTGTGCCCCATTGATTGGCCTGCTATGTCTGTGCCCCATTGATTGGCCTGCTATGTCTGTGCCTCACTGCTATATCTGTGCCCATTGGTTGGGCCTGCTATACCTATGCCCTTCTGACTGGCCTGCCCTATTTGTTCGGCCTGAGCTATCTGGGCCCGAAACCCCAGTACCCACTATTGACATGGACATAGGTGGGTGTCCAGGCAAACACTGCTGCCTTACTATCCAAGACGACACCAGTATACAGGCACCTCAATATGATTGGAAGGGTGAAGGCCCTAAGCCTCATGCCCTGAGGGGCAAGGTTTTTTTATGAGGATCCCCGTGCGCATCACCACGGTTTTCACCAACCTGGCGGTTGCACATCTCCAAAGAGAATTTCCCACAAGCAGGTACCAGTGCTCAAACGCCAACAGGGGAGCACGGTTGCCTTGTCTTCAGCAACTAACCATTTAGCTGCCTTCCCGGTATCCATCTTAGGTATTGGTAGTTAGTCCTATGTCAAGTTTAGCTCCTGACCCTTTCAGTTGGGTTTACTTGGCTTGCTGTTCCGTTCTACTATCTACCTTCTCCCCGAGGTACGTATTTACCGTTATCTACATTATTCGTCATTTCTTGGTTTTCAAGCCTTGCAATTGTCCTATCGCTCGGGTCGTCAAGAGGCCCGACTTGACCTCCTCTGACCTCCCGGGCTCTCGTGGATTGCAGAGAACATCTCCAGCTTTCCAAAGGCTACTGATGGTCCTCCTGGACCCTGTGCGCGCGCACGGGATCCGGGCGGTCAGTTGGTAGTTTCCATCATTGTTTCCGAAGGTTGCATTTTCTCACCATCCCTTTATGTTATTAAGGATGGACATGGCCCGAGGTTGTATACTATTCCATCTTCCATCGGTCTGGTTTATTAACAGTTGATTCCATCTCAGGGGAGCGATTCAGAGAGAGGTCTCATGGTCAGAGAGAGACCCACCTCAGAATCTCATTCTTATGCTGATATTAGTAAATGGTGTACACCTGCAGTGGGTCACCCTGAGTCTCTAAGGAACTCTAGTTTAGATTACAAGAGGGTGCGGCCCTCCATCACTTCGATACGAAAATTATATTTTATTTCACGAACAGAGAGCGAACCCCTCTCATATACGGAACTGGACACTGATTTGTTATTAGAGGGCGCGGCCCTCCCTCAACCTCAGCCTGATACTGTGCTGGATACAGAGGACATGTTTTGAGTGACACATTCTCGTACAGAGAAACGGTCACGGATGTAGACTCTACTATTTGATTATTAACAGGTGCGGCCAGCTCAGACTATCAGCAGGACGCTGGCACAGAGTTCGGTCACATTATTAGAGGGCACGGCTCTCATACACTCAACGCACTACGGTGCTGTCCATTTGTTTATCACACCACTGTACCACACGTGAGAAATACTCGCAGAGGTATAATGGGGGAGACTCCCACTTATTTACACACACTCCTGGAGACGGTACGGCTATCGGATGAGCCTCAGGTTTTACAAGAGTGCAGGTTTGGTATATTCTGCGCTTTATAAAACAGACATTGCATTCTGTTTTAGATATCCGGACCATTGCGAACAAACTGCGCAGACAGTTTTTCCCATATCAAGATGACAGGAGATACTGAGAGCTTCCTGGACCAAATGGGCACTGCCTTGCTAGGGTAACAAGACTAGGGAAGGCCCACTACCCGGTCTGCGGGTACGCCGTACGCATGGAAAGACCGGAAACCCCGGTTGACTTGAGTTCCCGGGTCATTACAATCTTGGGATAAGATGACAGGTCTACCTCTACTCATCTGAGCACATATCTGGGGAACATGGTTCAGAGATGGATGGCCCTCCGTCTATGCTCTATATCCCTCACGGGAGCCGTCTTGGTTTGGGTTCTTGCTTACCCACTTTTTCAACTACCATCAAGAAGACCTATGAGACTCTATGCAGAAACCCGGTGTGCCCCGACTCCTACACGGACATCAAAGTCGGGTCGCAACCTACCGCTGGAGTACGGCTCAGGATGTGTGGCAGACTTAGATAGGGCTGCCGACATTCTCAAACGGGACAATACATGATTCGAACGGTTGAAGCTAGTCCCTTGTTTTTTTGTTATATCTGCTCTCTGGAGTCACCTGTCATGCCTGCGTACTGGAGAATGCTAGGTGTTCGCGGGACTCCATGCTAAGAAGGAAGGTATCCCTCTATAGGGAGACCTTGACTTCGGTTATCGAACTCACATTCCTGGGTCTCTTGACCTAGGGCCTACTCTGGGAGATACGTGCCCGGATAGTCAGGGGTACAGGGACCTAGGGGTCTCACTACATTATACCCTATCTTGTAGGTGGCGTGTAGACCAGGAACTCCTACACAAATTTTGACAGGTCATACATTGCTTTTTTATGTACTATGGGTAATCAGATTATTTCTCTCTCTCACTACAGCACGTGAGGACTCTTCGTGGTTATACAGGTCCCACTCACCATTGGATCCGTACATCTTTCACTCTTAGATGATGACATATCTGGATGGAAATCTCAACTCCGGTTTACACTTCCCATCCCTTTGAATATTTCTGGGATTCACTATTCCCAGAATAGTCGACCACCGTTCCACCACACTAGTTAAGTGCTTTCGGAGTCTTTTCTCTATTGCAGCACACAGTCCATTTGGAATATTGGAATCACTTAGGATACGGCTAGTTTAACCACACTCTTGCCTGCATAATACATTTTTTCTCGGATGAGACATCTCACCAGGTAGGCCAGGAGGGAACGAAAGATCCTACTCGGTTCTATTACGGTATTGGTGGTGGACTTAGGCACATTCCTTGAGATTGGAGATCTACCGGCAAGGCCACATCGCCGGATGACCCTGGCATGTTCGGAGGAGCCACCTTACACATCAAGAGTTGAGACAGGGTGGCAGTTTCTTCTCGCGGCCATAAGTCCGCAAATGACATTCGACATTTTACAACTACAGGAAAATGGCTGATAGGTCAGCTTGCCAACTCATGGACCAACTGCTAGGAAACAGGTCACAACACCACATACAATGGATCTATCAGCGGATGGTGTTTTTTTCCATATTTGGGATGCTTTGTCAGCTGGCATCTTCATCGATCCGCCTACAGTCATTTATCGCAATTGGAAAGTCCAATTAGGATTGTTCTGATATCTCCTGGAATAGGTACTAGCAAAACAAACAGCGTTGGATTTGTGAGCTGAGCGTTAAAACAGCAAATACGAAGCCTCCTATCATGTTATAAAATTGTAGATTATGCTAGCTTTAGTGTACCTATAAACTTAATTTTATTAATGACTGGAGGCAAGTATTTCCCACCCATTCTTATCCCTCCCTTGTTTAATCTTAATAGGTTGGGTTCATCAGGTACGTATGCAACTCTGCTTGTTGTCTCTGCTACCTGTCACTTGTTTCTTATATCTGTTTTTCGTAAGTAGGGTTGGGATATCTACATATTAAGGTAATTTTGGTTGCTACATTGAGTAACTACATGTTTATTCAGAGTACATTTCATTGGATAATCAACCTGTTCGATTCTGTTTTTCTCTCGTTTCAGTTTACAGTCCATCAACACTATCTGATATGGCAGTTCTTCTCGGAGGGTGGACATTGTTGTATTCATCGTATCTAGGACTTCGTTTCTTCCCCAGTATGTTTTTCTGCCTTTTGTTCTGTCTTGTCGCAGCTTGAAAGAGGAAATGATGCATGGGGAGGGAAGTTTTATAGTACCTAACTTTTTTCTGATTAGTTGTTTTTCTGTGCTGCTGTGGAGTTCTAGTAAAGAGAGACTAAAGTAAATACTCGCCTCCTGTCATTAATAAAATTAAGATTATAGGTACACTAAAGCTAGCATAATATACAATTATCATGCTGGTTGGGTATTTTTTTTTTCCTCTAGATTTTTATAAAAAAATATATGTGTGCATATTTCGGTGTGTTTTATATTCTAAAAAATATGGTAATCCAAAAACAATATATATATTATCTTTTCCTGCTGCTGTAGAGCTATATTGCAAGACGCTCTGCTGGCTCCAAGGCCTTGAGGCAGTACGCAGGTTGAGGCAACACTCACTGCAGCTCTAATTGCCTGCAAAATAGTGGGGGAAATAGGGTGTAGGCCCTGTTGGAGGCACAAGGCACGAATACCCTTATGTCGGTCGACATAAGGGTATTTCCTGGGGGCCAGGCCTTGAGCTGTGTAAGTGGTCCCAAAATCTCTGATTGCAGTCCTGAACTACCCCTGTGCTTTTGTTTTTTTTA